TTAGCTCAGCAGCTCAAGCTCAGCAGCTCAAGCTCAAGCAGCTCAGACTGGTAAGCCCCAAGTCATGGTTCGATCCCCAGTACCGGAAAACACACACACACACACCTACAGCAAATTTTCATAAAATTTCTTTTTATTTTTGTTGATCTAGACATTAATATGTTTATAATTAGGTCTCACATAGAGCCAGATGGATTTATATACTAAAACAACAATTCAAACATTCCTCTGTGAAGTTAGGTTGATCTACATGAAGGAAAAAGATTAGTTAACTAATGAATGAATTAATGAAAAGTCTGAATTATAAAATTCCCTTAAATTTGTATTATTTTAGTTTTTAAGACCTTAAATCACTTTTCCCTCCAAGAAGGAAGGTCAAAAACTTCCTGCCTGTCTGTTCTGATAGAAGGTGAAGTCTCATCCCAGGCTTGTGTATTCCAAAAGAGAAGTTTGAATCAGTGAAATTTCAACTACCATTCAACTGATCTGGTAACAAGGTTCATTCAGTTTGTGAAGCTGAACTTGGGCTCAGACCAACCTCACTTACTAAAGTGCAACAAGTCACTTCTATCCACTAGTGGAACTCAAAGCCACATGCTGATCTTGAACTAACCTTGTCCTCTTTCTGTCCTACAAAAATGCTGCTGATCCTGACCTGGAGTTGCTGAACATATGAAATCCTTACTTTTGGGGGCAGATATTAACAAAAGTACAGACCATCCTGTAAAGCACAGAAGCATCCTATAATTAACAATTGCATTTTGATCCATGCTCTTAAGTCACTACTCTGAGAAGCTTGTCTGAAATCCTGCCAGTTTTTGGTGGAAGAAAGTTTCTAGGACCCCTTTTTTGCAGATGCATCTGTGTAATCGTTTCCCAAAATCTTCCTCAGAGACAGATTCACCATGAAGCTAATGAAGCTTCCTCAGAGCCTTTCATTCAATCCTTACAAGACTCTTCCAACTCACAGTCACTTTGTCTTTTTCATAAGAAAGAAAGAAAGAAAGAAGCATTTCAGGACCACCAGGAAAGGCACCTGGCTGCCCGTTACCTCTTCTCTCATCTCTCTGTGCTTGATTCTTCTTGTGGAAGTCACAGCCTTTCACGCCATACTGAGGCTTAATGAGGAAAGACCCCTGGAAGATTCAAGAGACAGTGACAGATGACAGATTGTTTTTCCCCTGAGACTAGTTTTTATATAGTGACAGGGTCAGAACTCAATATGGTGAAGAGGACAAGAGGAAAATAGGCCCTACAGAGAGCAGGAGGAGAAGCAGCAGACATAAGGAAGCCCTGAAATAAGTGTCACCTGCAAGGAAGGAGAGATGTAGAGAGAAAAAGAAGTAGCATTCTAGGCTGTATTACAGTTAAGTTCAGCGCTGGTGAAAACACTCCAGGGAAGCTTGAAGGAATGGGATGGAACAGGCCCTGCTTAGTACCAAAAAGAAAAAGAAAAAAAGAATAGGATGGAAGCAGGACTACTCTGGCCACTGAAAAAGAATCAAGGCTCTTCACTCACAGCTAGCAGACCTCAAACTCTGCAGGGTGATAAACCACCTGCCACTTAGCACAGTCATTGAAACACTGGGTGATAAACCACCTGCCACTTAGCACAGTCACTGAAACACAGTAAACTGCTCAGGAAGCCTTCCTTATTGAATGCACAGAAACCATTCCAAGTGAAGATCTGTCAGATTCTAAAGGCTGTAAAGATGGTTGGTTTCCCTTGACCACCTTTGCTAAGTTTGGGGTGGAAGGGGCTGGGGATTTAGCTCAGCGGCATAAGCGCCTGACTTGCAAGCAGGAAGTTGTGAGTTCGATCCCTGGTACCGATAAAAATGAAAAAGACAAAAAAAAAAAAAAAAAAAAAAAAAGTATATAAAAAAAAAAGTTTGGGGTGGAAGTCCTTCTCAGTCTTCTTTGCCACTGGAATTTTATTTCAGCTTGCAAGACCAGTTTATGTTTTCTCTGTAAACTCTTTGTGTTTTCTTCCTTTGGTTTTTCTTCCCATCTCTCATTAGCAAAGACATGATCTCAAGTATATTTCAGTGGTGTCTACTGTATTTTCTAGACATGTTTCATAATGGCCTATTTCCAGGAAAGACACAGGGGGTGTGTGGCTTTTTCAAATAAAATAATATAATGTAGTTTTAAAAGAATTTTAAAAGGATATCAGAAGTGATTTAGGAAGAAAAAGTTCACTGTACTAAGAAGCTAGGATAGTTTTTACCAGAAATTGCTACAGGCTGACATAAGAAGATAAATATACAAAGCATAGAGCACATTTTCAATGTCTGATAAAAGCCAAGCAATAATTCTGTGAGGTCAGAAGATTTTTCTGATGTTAAATTTTAGGAGGGATTAACTATGGCTTTTCATATATGGCTGCCCAAGAGGTCATTTTATGAGTTTATTAAGAACTCTGTCAGATCTTTTAGGACAAACTTTATGACTTACACTGTATTTCCTTCATAATCGTATATAACACTGTAAGTGTTCAAATATTTGCCAATAGATTGAGGATTCAGTTTTCTTGCCAATCTAATTATTCTGTCTTGAGATCCCAGGACAATGAAAGTAAAGGATTCATCAGATCTCTGAGCAGAAGGACTCTCAGACTATTTGGTATAGCCCTAACCATATGCAACCATGAGACTTCAAAGACCTTCTCACTCCCAACCACTGGTGCCAGCATGGAGTGAGGAGCCAAAAGTCCACCTGGCCCCATTATTATGCTTCCCTCTCCCCTACCCTCCTGGGTCACTCTGTTTTTTAAGGTTCATCCTCTTTCTGTCCTCACCACACATTCCCCATCCCTTTGAACATTAGAGATTTGGCTTACTAAACTTTGTTCATTCTCTCTGAAAACTAGCAGTGTTGTGTAAAAAGGAACTTCTTTTGTGCTATTATTATTACCATAATCATCATTATCCTATAAGGAAACTGACTTGGAAAGAGGTTCCAGAGCAGTATTTTGCTCTGCTGGTGTCTATCAAACCCTCAGGTATAGAAGTTACCTTTAAGTGCAGAAGACTACCTCAGCCATGTCATAAGCAGCCCAGAAGGTTCAAATGCAACTGACTCAAGAAGTTGAAGACTTAAGGGTCAGAAGACATTATATTCTCTCTCCCTCAACCCTATATGCACCCCAAAGTACACTGAGCAACCCCTCAGCAAAAAAAGAAGGAAGAGGAGGAGGAGAAAAAGAAGGGGAAGGGGAAGGGGAAGGCGAGAAGGGAGAGAGGAAGAAATAGAAGGAGGAGGAGAAAAAGGAAAGGAAGAAGAAGAGAGAGGAGGAGAAAGAGGAAAAGTAAGAGTCCTTTGTACTTAGTAGTTTAAATATTACAATAAGGTCACAGCACAGCTACCTCGAGCATAATAGGTATTCAATAAGTACTAAATTGAGAACGCCGTGGCACATTAGGTTGCATATAGTAGATAGCTGGTAATTTTTTTTTAATTAAACTGATATGAGGATGGCTGCCTTGCACATAGTAGGTCCCAGGAAAAGGCCATAAAATCGAAAAGTAGCAGACACCCTCTTTAAAGAACCCCGGCAGAGGTGACATTAATCAAACCCTAGGCACAGATCCATGAATGGAAATGCGCGTCTCGAAGGGAGCGCCACCGAGTGTGCTGGAGAGGCGCGTGACAGTGTGCAGCGGCGGGGGCGGCGGCGGCGGCGGCACTGAGCTCATTCTGGAGGTGGCCGAACCGCCTCCAGCTCCTGAGTATTGATTAGCGATCGGAATTCATCCGCGATCTAGGGCCAGGAAGCCTCCTCCTCCAATTGTCACTTCGGATCGCACCTGGAACTCCTACCACAGCCCCTCCCGGGCATCCGCCCACCCAAGCTTCTCACATTCGGGAGAGTAGCGGGCAGAACAAAAGCAAAAGCTCGCAGGGCTCCAGATTGCTTTTCTGATGGAGAACAACCCCGCAAGAGGCAGGAGGAGCCGGCCCGGGACAGAGCAGTGTTGTCGGCCCCCAGCCGCTGTCCGCATCGCCCGCCCTTCCCCAGCAGTTTCGGGGCTCCAGCAGGGGAAATCGGCAGGGGTCCCTCTGTCCCAGGGCTAGGACCCCGAGAGCGGGCGCCACTGTCGGGTGTGGCAGGGAGAGGGCGCTGTCTTAACCCTTGAAAGGGGGTGAAAGGCTGGCGAGGAGCATAAAAGCGGGCTGAGACAGACCCCACAACCAAGATACAAATTGGAATTTGCAGAGCGAGCCTCCCCTCGGCGACCCCGGACGCGTGGGACCGTCCCCAGGGGTGGGGTCTCCTGCTTGCGCCCGACCCCTGAGCCCCACTCCCCTGTTCACATCCCGGGGGAAACACATCGCCAGCCCTCCCGGGCAGGCTGGCTACCCAGGGACAGCCCCGGCGCGCGGAGGTCAACGAGGGCGGCCGGGTGGGTCCCGCGGCGAAAGCCCACCGCTCGGAAACTAGCTAGTTTGGTGTTTCTAGGAAGGCGAGGCGCGGGGCGGGGAGCGCGGGGAAGTCTCATCTCCCCCTGCTCCCCATCTTCTCGGAGCCCGCGGAACTCCGAGGGGCGCAGGCGGCGGGAGGAGAAAGCCAGCGAAGCGGGAGCCACTTACCGAGGCGGAGCGCGGAGCGCGGCGCCCGGGCGCGAGCGGCGCCTTTGTCTGCGGCCGCGGCGCCAGCGCTCGGCCAGGCCGGTCCCAGCCCCAGCGCGCGGCGAGCTCCCGCCGGCGCCCCGACAGCCCGGCTCGGGCGCGCTCCGCTCGGGCTCGGGATCTGCCGGTCCCCTACCCCGGAGGCCGCCGCCACGGCTCCGCCCCGAGCCGGGCCCCGCCCCCGGCCGCCGGGCCCCCACCTGCTGCGGCGGTAGCGGCGCGGGAGAGCCAGGCCCCCGGGTCCCCGGGGCGGCCAAGTCCCGCGCGCGCCCCGCTCCTCCCTCCGCAGCCCCCGCGCGGCTCGGGCCGAGCGCGCACCGCGGCGGACACCGGCCTGGCGCGATCCTGCCGCTCCGAGGCTGCTTCACCTGCGTCGAGCCCGGTCCCGGGGCAGCCTGGCCTTTCCGCCCGGGCACGCACTCTCCGGGGTCCGCGGTCACCTTAGAAGCCCGTCCTCACTGTGCCCGAGACGGCGTTCCTCGGGCTCCACCTGGGGAGCGGAGGAAGCGGAGGAGGGAGCAGGTCAGCCGGCGTTGCGGTAGCGGCCCGGGAGAGGGCGGAGAGAAGGAACCGGCAGGAACTGGACGACTCCAGGCCAAGGGAGACTCGCGTGGACCCGAGGTGGCCCGGGTCGAGGGTCCAGGGGGCGCCAGCGCAGGTGCGCGGGGCTGCAACTGCCCCTGGATTCGCAGCGGGGTGCCTGAACTGGACTTTCGTGCTCTTACAGCACAGCCAAATAAAACTAACAGAAGAGAGACAACACTTTGGGAGCCAGAGAAAAGGAATCGGAGAAGCCACCAGACCTGTAACTTCAGTAGTTGATGTTTATGTGCCGCACTCCAGCAAGCCCAAAGAGGGCCACACAAAATAGACGCGTGCAGTGGAGTGGGCAGGGAACCGCTCTTCTAGCCAGAGAAAAATATTATAACCTAAATGTTGCATAATGAGGTCACTAATGACTTTCGTTGCCTGTAAACACCCACCCAACCACCACCATCCTAACCAAAACAAAGTGAGAACCACATGTGGACTCTTCATAGGATCTGCTCTAAATTATAGTTCCTGCTTCACCCCCACCAGAGGCTCATACAATTTCGGGTGCTTAATGGGTGTTCAGTAATTGTTGAAAAAAATCAATCTGTGTCTTGTATAACTGTGCAAATTGTAACATGGACCAAACCATAAAAATTAAAAATTGTAGAATCATACTAGAAAATGAATTAAGTGGTTAGCCCAGTAATGGGCATACGAGGTGTAATAGATATTATCTGTAATTATTATGCAGACACAATTGCTATTAATCATATATTCAGGTACATAAGAGATTTGGATTATATGCTTGGAGACAGCAGCTGTCTGGACCTTTATTAACCTAAAAGAATAGGTAGGGATTAGGACAGTATATAATAAATGGCTGTACATCGGTGGTAAGACATTTTAATGTGCCTTCTCCAAGGAGAACACTTTTAACATTTTGCTTGCTTAATTTTCATTTCAAATAAGTTATTAATTCAGAAAGAATGCATAAATATGAAATGTTGTGTTGATTTATTCAATTTGATAACATCTCTTCTAGGAAGGAATAATAACCGTTCCTAAAATGTCCCCTTTATCCAAAAAACACAGACAGGCAAGTGTCCCGTCACAGCCTACCAGCCTCAAATGCGGGGCCAGGGTGTCTAAATGAAGAGGCTGACTGGGCTGAGACAGAAAGCTCAGAGTCTCCCTTCTGGGGGTTTCAGATGTGTTTGGGGTCTGGAAACTGCTCTGGGGAGCACTGTGCTTATCCATGTGAGATAATCTCTCTCTTCCATTTGGCAGTGGGGGAAACGTAATTTCCTCCATGTGATGAACGTGAGTGAATGGCTCATGCATCGTGAATGGCGCGCCTCCAAACTGTGGGACAGAGATGATGAAATACGCGTTTTAATATCGGAGTCCATTACCACACAATGCCGGGGGAATGAATAGGAACAAGGGTATTTATCTAGGCATTCTCCATCACGCTCTGTCACCTGGGCTCCTTCTCCTGCGGTGCTGCTTTCAGAAAACAAGGTAATTCTTTTTTTTACTCCACAGGGAAGAATCCTAAAGAAGCTAGCTGAGGTAGGTGTCAGTAGGTGGAAAATAACTTCACAGAACTCAGGAGGTGGGAAGTTCACAATATCCTCCCTTCCTTTCTTGTTCTTTCTTTCTTTCTTCCTCTTTTGTGCCACTATATCCCCACTGCTCATAACTTCACACCACAAACTGTACTTCGTAGGCTGGGCCGGGTGCTGACATCTGTGGTAGCCCTGGAGAATATGGCCGACATAGAGAAGATGGTGCAGGAAGCAGTACCATGCCAGCAAAGTCAGCTCTCATGACACCCAGTTTTGACTTAGGTCCCGGAGCTGAAAGGAAAGCAACCTAGATTATTAAGAGCTGTTCCCGTACTCTACTCCTACTCCAAGGAAGAGCTGGCATCACTGAAGGCATGTCGCCTCCCTCCAGGGCTGAGGACTGGTTGTGTTTGAGGAACCAATTGACCTTGACTTCTAGATGATGGAGCCAACAAGGCCACACAAATCAGCCTGTGTGTCCTTCCCCTTTTGGGAGCAGTCTGATTCTCATTTATTCTCTCTCTCTCTCTCTCATCTGTCTCTCTCTCTACCTCGGTGTCTCTCTCCCCCCTTCTCCCTCTCTGTTTCCCTGTCTCCCTTTCTGCCTCTCTTCCTCCTTCCCTCCTTCCGTTTGTCCCTCAGTTTCTCCCCTGGCCCACTAGGAAGATGAGACAGGTCTAGGGTATCCTCACAGCCTGGGCTCTGAGGCCTACAAGGCACAGGTCACTCTCTCTTCACTGTCACTTCAGGCTGCTCTGGAACTGCCTTTCTTCCTCAGCAAGGAGAAGAGATCCGTGGTGCAGATAGAGACTCTGGGGAAGAAATGAACATTCTCTTTGGGTTGCATGGTTCTTGCAATAGGCTGTTTATTTTAAACCTCTACCCTCACTAGAATCTCCTAGGAAATCTTCAAGTGTACTTGAAGCAATAGATGACCACAGTGGCCCACTTACCAATAGCTGTCCCTGTTTGTCACATTCTGACTTCCCTCCTCTTGCCATAAATAACCTGTCACTGCTTGGAGTGTAGCTCAGTGATAAACTGTATGTGGTGTGTTGAAGGCCCTGGGTTAGCAACAGCTTTCAAAACTAGTTTAATGTTTTTACAGAAAATCTAAAACATGTCTGTAATCTTTCTCTTCTAGTTAGCAAAACCTGGTAAAACAAAACGTGCCTCCTCTCTCTCTCTATTTTATCTCCTCCCATTCTCTCTTTAACCCATTCCAACCTCAACTTCATGGAAATGGTTCTCAAGGTGACTAGACCACCATGTTTTTAAACATAATGATGTTCTTAGACTTTCTCTTAGATGACCAGTTCAACATTTTGCATATATAATCACTCTTTTACTTTTTTCATGGGCACTGGCTCCCAGGATGGATACCCTAACAAGTATCCATCCAACTTGTTAGGGTTCAAATCTGAGATATTCCCCAAAGACCATGTGGTACAGCCTTGGTCAGGCTGAGATATCACTGGAAGGGTGAGAACTTCAGGGAACCTAGCTGGAGGAATCAGGAAACTGGGATATGCCCTTGAAGGCTATTCTTGCACCCCGCTTTCTGCTTCTGCCTCTGTCCCTCTCTTTCTGTCTCTCTGGTTTCATTTCCTGCAGCCAAGATATCAGATTTTTCTCACACAGTTCTCTTCACTGTAACATTGATGCTCACCTCACAGAGATGGGACCAAGTGACCATGGATTGAATCTTCGGAGACCATGATCCAAAATAAACCTTTTCTCCTTTTAAATTGTTTTTTCTCATATATCTTCTCAAAGATCAGAACACTAATACACAAACTTACTGGCTCTTCAGGGAACAATGTATGCCAGCTACTCAAAACAGTGCAACAAAGATTATACAAAACAGCAAAGTGCTACAGCTCTATCCACCAAACTCAGGAACCAGAGAGGTTTATCACCACCACTGTTAACATTTCTACAGGCTAAAATAAAGCAACAAGGCATGCAAATGAAATAGTAGATATGAATAGTAAAAAGGAACAGATAAAAAGTCTTTACAGATAATTATACAACTGAAAACTAAGATTCTAGTTCTTTTTTAAAAATACTATTATATTTAATAAAAGGGTGTGGCAAAGTGTCTAGAAATAGTAACTGGAATAACTAAAACCAAAAGCTGATTCTTTGAAAGAAAAAAATATGAAATACACTCATCAGAAGCTTGATTAAGGAAAAGCAAAAAGCAATTAAAACACTATTATCAGTGAAAAACGTGCTATGAGCATGGATTTAAGAAATATTCTAAAAATTATCAAAGCAAATGGAGTGTAAAGCCCTGGTTAAAACTGCAGAGCATAGCGACAGATTGACTGGTCGGTTGATTTTAGAGGCTAGGTCTCCTTCTGTTGCCCAGGCAGACTTTGAATTTATGGACACAAGTAATCTTGCCTCGGGCTCCCGAGTAGCTTGGACAACAGGTGCACAATGCCGCAATCACACATGGTTCCTGCTTTTGCAGGACTCATAATCTAATGAGGGATGTCTACGAGGCACGGGCTTAAACAAATGATTGGTTCGTGTTCTATGAAGGGCCCAGCTGGGAGGGCTAGTCTCCTCTGGAGGTCAGGAAGGGCTTTGTGAAGGCGTAATTATTAAGTTGGGTGTGGAAGAAGGAACCCCAAGAAAAGGTTAGCAGTGGTGGAGAATCAATGACGCTGATAACAGTTGTTTTTCTAAGCTAAAACCTCAGTTTTGTTTTCTGCATTAAAAACCTTAGGTTTCACTGGAGTGGGTTTTGGGTTCCACGTTTGGCATGTAGTCTCTAAAAGATTCACCATCACCGGGTTAGGGTGTTACAAAGTGTCCCACAGGCTAGCAGGCAGCAGGAGAACAGTCAGAGAAAGGCAGGGAACACACTGGGCAAGAGCTTGTGGCCCATGACAAGGATTTTGGTCTCCATCCTCAGTGTCACCGGAAGCCCTTTCAGCCTTTTGAGCTCGAAGAGCTAAGCACCTCAGAGTGCCTTAAAAGTACTTCCTCTAAAAGGTATGCAAAGATTGTAACCAGGCAGCAAGGTAGCATTTTCCAAGGTCCTTTGTCCCCAATATTATTCAGTGACACCATCCACCAGTCCCAGACTGTAACTACACCCCACCGAGTTCCCAGAATCTGATAGGGTCCAGGGAAAATTCTACTGCGACTCCAAGGAAAAGTCATCAGTTGTCTGGTCTCCAGTGGTATGGGACAGAGCTTTACTTTCAACGGATTCTCACGTGTAGGGCAGATTTCTCAGCCTGCTAACTTCCCAAAAGTTTCTTGACTGGTTTGCACCACCCTGCGTTCTCTTTATTCAGGCAGTGAAGAGTAAGAACTCACCAAACTTCTAACCCCACGTCCCCCACTCTGTGTCCTTACCTTACCCAGTGTGTCTCAGCATGTGCTGTGACATCAGTGG